TAGCAATTTTCACCAGAATAGGGGTTTGTTTTGGAATGCTTACCTTTCTGGATGCTTGACCCGGTCGATGGCAGACATAGAATGCTTCCTACCACACGGGGGTTACTATAGGCCATTGCTCCCCTTGCCTCTCTGAGGGGGCCAGGTTCTGGCCATGGGAGTGAGTCTCCAGTACTTGGACTGCATGCGCCTAGGGTTACCTTCCCTAGGTGCCCTGTAAGTACTGCCCATGGGGCCACCTTCCACAAGTTCCATGGGTTCTGCCTCTGCTAGGCCGTTTACTGCTTGGTTTTCGGCCGCCCTTTGTGTGCTCAGGTGTTCTGTCTCCCTTGTTCGCCTTAGAATAAGGGGCAGTTTTGCACTGGTGGGGCACAGGGTGCTGCGCAGCCTGTTTTCACCTATATGGCGGCCGACTCTATTCTGCCGCCTGGGTACGCTGTCCTCTTGCGGGGTTTTCTTTTTCTTTTTGTTTATCTACCTGGTGGGGGGGTCTGCCTTTGTTCTTGCCCCTGTGTCCCTTTTGTTCTGAATATTATTCTGGTGGTACCCCCTGCTAGGTCCCCGTGAGTGTACACGTCCCGGGGGTTCAGTTCTTAGAAAGTTGTTTGGTAGCTTTGGGCGCCGGTTAGCAGTACCCTGCCTGGGATTACCTGAGCGCGAGTCCTATTATAGTAAATGCTCGGGACCCTGGGAAACCCCTGGGGGGCATGCGGGTCCCTTGGATGTGACTCCGGAGTCCCCCCTCGCTTCCAGCAAGTTTGAGGGTTGCTCTCAACCCTTGTCTCAGGGTGACTCTTGTTTTGCCTTCGTCTGCTGCCTGTGGGGTCGGTGACACCTTCGTCCCGGAGTCCTGTGAGTTTTGTTGCTCGTTGTGGCTCAGTTACCCAGTTGTGTGCTGACTAAGCGGATGCAGGCAGCAGGGACGTTGACTTCCCTGAGAAAACCAGCGTTGACTGAAACGAAATGCCACTTTCTGGGTGAGCCCTGAAGGTTCTCTGATCCCCTCCCTCCATTCCAGGTCATCAGGTGGATGCCTACATCTACTGTAGAATTGAGCTTAAAGATGCTGGCTGTTGGTGGGTTACCTCCCCTTCCTTTCCCAAAGGAGTAGGGAAAGGTCGAGCAAACAAGCTCACAGTAGTTCCGAAAGAATTTGTTAATTTGTTTACATAGTTGGGGGGAGTTATTTCGGCAGGTTTCGAGGCTTCAGTCTCTATCGAAGCCAGAATTGGTTTATTTTGACTAAGTTTCTGGTTGCTTTCTCGGTGAGGTGTGTATACTTACCCCTGTATGAGGTGGACCTTTCAACCTGAAACCTTAAGGTGTTTTTAAACTAAGATAAATTTCAGTGTATGTAAATTAAGATAAATTTAAATTTAACTAGTCCGCAAATTACCTGTCTCAATATTACTGTTTTCCGTTGGGGGCCCTGTTGACTCCCTGAAGCTATCCAGACTGATATGTGCTATATTAGTTTGGGGACATCAGATATAGGAATTTGAGTGCCTTCCGGTGACCACGAGCCAGAACCTGACCCCTCTCCCCCCCCCCCCCCTCAGAGAGGCGCAGGGAGCAATGGCCATATGAGCACTCTACATTTAGAGTATGTCATGTCTGCCATCAACTTGGGTATATCCCCAGAAAGGTAGGCGAAACAATACAAATCTCCAACTGGTGAAAATTGCAACCTATATCTGAAACAGAGCCAAAGAACTACCAAAGGAAAACAAATAAACAAGCAAACTGTCATCCAACTAGCACTCCCCCTTTCCCTGTCAGCCCCTCCCATGACAGTGGGAAGGGGGGAGCCCGCTCAGGAAAGCCAGCGGCTCGTCCCTCCAGTTCTTGACTGGTGTGCACTGGACACACACGTTACCTCAGGCCTCGCTTTCCTGTCTTGATTTTTGCCCTGTGTGGGGTAGTTGTGGTGGCCAGGTGTTCTTCTGTACACAAGTCTGCATACATCTAGGGCTCGCTTCCCTAAATGCCCAGTAAGTACTACTCTTGTGTGTTCAGAGTTCTCTTCCCTGGGGCATTTGGGACTCGCTCCCGTTGTGGTCTCCATCGTATGACGTTGACCCTTGGGGTTGGGCGAGGGTTGTGGGGATTTCCGTCTTGCCCTGGGTAGGGAGTGATTGTTGCTGGGTGGGGCACACTGGTTGGCGCAGCCTGCATATATGTGACAGCCATGATTCTCTCTGGCTCCCAGTTTGCTTGTTTGTGAGATTTGGGGGCTTTATTTCTTGTTTGGCTAAAGGAGGTCTGCCTAGCTTCCCATTAGGTGTGGCCTAGGTTGTGTTTGGTTGTCCTATAGTGCCCACGAGATTTCACAACTGCTACTGAAGATCAGTTTGCCTGGTATTAGACAGGGTTCAACCGGCTTTGCTAACCCAGCGCCTGGGTTTGCCGTAGGGTTACTTCCTCTGTGGGCCTTAGAAAACCCCTTGGGGCTTGGGGTCACCATAAGCGTGTCTTCCGAGTTCTCCGAGCCTTGTGTGAGGTTGAAGGTTATTCGTTGCCCGTTTCAGGAGTGACAATCATGTGTACAGCCTGTTGGGACAGTGACACCCTTGTCCCGGAGATTTTCAGGACTTGTTCCGTGCTTGTGCTGCAGTTTACCCATCCTTTGACTGAAAATCTTAGGGATCAGGCGACGGCTGCAATGCATGCTAGGTATACTTTGTTGCAACAAGCCCAGTTGGAAGTCCTGGAGTTTCCCCGTTTGGGTTTTAGGAACCAAGATTTGGGGGCGTTAGTCGCATCGAATTTGGTTTTGTCCGCGCGGCCACTTTCTTCCTGGGTGGGTGTGGGTCTTTCCTTCTTGCTCCTCCCTCCTCTGCTGCCGGCTCCAAAGCGTCTGAGGGTTTCTGAGTTGGGGCGGTGTTTAGCTCGGGAAGAAACTCGGGTGGTTTTGGGAAATGCCCCTTCCGATTTGGGTATGGATTACCTGAATCGGGTTGAGCCCGATTATCCCGCCAAGGCTTCAGGGTCGACCCGGCAGACCCCCATCTTTGCCCTAAACTTCGCCTTCTCTTCAGGGGTGGTGGGCATGGATGATGGTTCTGCCCCGGGGCTTGTGTCTTGGGTTCTCAGTGAGCGGGGGGAGTCTGCTTGGAGCGAGTGGGCTCCTTTTGACCCTGCTTGGGCCTTGATGCTTTTGGAGCATCAAGGCCCCTGTATGAATTTGAGTTGGGTGCAGCTTTTCCTGGGTTCGTTTCCTGGTACCTTTGGGTTCTTCGGATTCATCCTTCCAGAGGTTCTCTGCCTTTCAGATTTCCCCTGCAGAGGTTCGGGAGGCTCTGGGTGCTTACCTCTTGTAAGACCCGGGTTACACCTCTATAATAACCCGATATGAAGTCAAACGATCCGGCTTCGTTTGATTTTGGTTCTTCTTCTTCCCTGTATTGGATGCGTTATGAGGTTCTGGAGTCTTCTTGGCTGGCATACTGCCCTTTCTTTTCACTTGGAGCTTGGCACAAGTTTTGTCATACCCGCACACTTGAGTGGAGGGAGGTTACCTTGATGTTGTAGGTATTCTTGGGAGCTCAATGGAGTTCCTCAGTGAGTGCCTTTTCGTTCCTGCGCTCTGTCGTGAGGTGGGTTTGCTGCAATTACATGCTTAGGTTCCCACTCTTTCGGGATTTTTGATGGCGGATGATCATCAAGCTTGCAGTCATTTGGCCTCGGTCTTGTGCTTCTTTAGCCTTCTGGAGCTGTCCTTGGACTGACTTTCAGAGGATGTGGGGGCATTGGGTGAGGGGCCAATACTGCCACTTCTTTTCGTGCAGCATTGGCGCTACAGCTTGCGTTCGGGGTGGATGTCACTTCTGCTCTTGTCTGTAAGCTCTCATGCATTTTTTTACCTCAAGTCTGCTCATGCGCTGTCTGAGCCTTCTTGGTATTTGGACCGGGTGCTCTTGTTTCTCTCCTCTCCTCAGTTTGTTGTGACCCCTTTGGTCCATGATTGTTGTATGAAAGCTTTGTATTTGTTGGCTTTAGCCTTTGGGGGAGCTTTATGCTTTTCTCTGGTGCAAGGGATTCTGCTCCTTTGGTCCTCGGGTTCGTTTTGTTCGTTTGCAGGCTTCTCCTCCTTTTCTGGCAAAGAATGAAACGACTGGCTTCTGGAGGGGGTCCATGGGTTGTTCATGCTTGGTTGGTTAGGCTGGGGGTGCATCATGTTATGTGTCAGGTTGCTGCTTTACATCACTACCTGTGGGCCACTTGTTCAGTGACAGTGGACGTGCTCTGGGTTGATTTAGTTTCACTGGTTCCCTGTTCCAGGGCTTGTGTCTCTCAGGTTGTCTGCAGGATTATCAAATCTAGCCAACCTCTGTTCTACCCTCGTGCCCATGATGTGAGGAAATATGCTGCTCTCGCTGCTTTATTTGGGAATATGTCTTGAGTTGACATTTGGGCATGGGGGAATTATGGAAATCGAACAGGGTCCTGGCTGCCCGTTATCTTGTCAATGTTCCAGGCCCTCTGAGGTCTTGTTCTGCTTTGGGACGTGGTTCGCGGCCTGTTGTGTCTTCTTCATCTTGAGACATGCGGTGCTGCAGCCTCCCAGGTAAGTCCCTATTTTTACAGTGTACTTCTCTGTGGTTAGAGAGCTTCAGGAAGCTGATATTAATATAGCACATATCAGTCTGGATAGCTTCAGCGTCCTGGGATCGTCCAGAAAATTGCATTTCATTACATTCAATGCTGGTTTTATCATATCAACATTAATAAATTATATTAATTAATATATTAAATCATATTAATCATACTACTTTGTAAAGTTGTTGATGGAATTCACTTCAACATCCTCTTCCTTCAGTGCTTCACTTTGTTATTGAGTTTCAGTCAATTAAATAAATACCTTCAGGAAGGAAGCTACATCTCTTACAACCTGGTATGATCTTAAGGCTTACAATACCAGCAATGGGAACTAGTGGGGAGTTTACTAGACAAGGCCATTTAAATTACATTCAACACTAGATTTATTTTCTTTTAAACAGAGATATCTTGAAACAACAGAATTCATAGAGTCCTTTGAAAAACTGCTTGGCTCAAAGGCCAAGATAATGGCTTTTCGTGAAATGATTGAATACAAGAGTTTTATGGAACATTGGAACCTGCCAGTGTACTTCCAAATAAGGTGAGTTGTACTGCTTTACAACCTTAAAATGGGCATCATATATCCTAGAGTCAGCCAGAATGAACACATTCCCACTGGATACTCCCAAAAACCTTTACAACTATCAACACTGTACCATGAACAAATACATTAGATTATTTACCTCAAGACAAGGACTTTAACTATTTTATAATAATTTCTTGAAATTGCCTCATAAATCTCGTTATTGTTCTATATACATTTAGAAATTGAATTTGTACACCACTTGTAGGATAAAAGTATTATACAATCATTGAATATATTTTTTATTACATATTCTAGATACATCAATGCTTATAGAAAAAAGGTTTCATACCATAATATCAATAATATTAATTTATCACTGGTTCAGTTTCTACAGAGAAAAGAAAAGTGACATCTCTGTAGAGTATATTTAATATGAGAGAAAATTCATTACAGGTATCAAGAAATTGGACAAGTAGTAGAATGCAGTTTAAGTCATGAAGCTGATGGTCTTGCACAAATGGCATTTAACACCAGTGGAGACTTCATGTTTGTGTCTTCTCAAACTGTATGGGAGAGCCTTTTAAAATGTTTCTCACCAGATGTGTTCCTTCCACCACTCCTTCATCGATTTTGGAAGCTCACATTGCTTGTCCTCTCACGCTACCGTACCTGGATCTTTGCTACAACAGACCAATTAAAATTGAAAGTATGTATAGCACATATATATGGTAATAAGAAAATGTCCATTCTAGTTATAAGTTTACAATTTATGTACTGGTACCAATAATTATTAATGTAGAAAGCATGAACAATTTTTAACCCTTTGGCTCGCTAGGCAATGCAAGGGGAAAACCCCTCGGGGGCTGAGACCCGTCGGTTAACCTGTTGTGTTCATATAAGTGTCCTTAAAATCTTTGGAGAAAATTTGATAAGTTCATAGCATAAATTTGACAGAACAGTACTGTATTTTGTTTGTACTCATGAATACGAGAAGTCCTGATCTACTTGCTATTTTGATGATCATTGTTGATGGATGTGATAATATTTCTTTTAGCAAGCACACACACCTTCCTCACGTTGGAGTCAGATGTGATAATTGTTCCCTTAATTAGAGAAAGCGAGAGCAAATGCCGAAGTCCAATTACTTGGTCCTCCAATCACTAGGTTGTTAGCTCCTCAACTGCATAAGCAATCTAGAGGGTAGCAAATAGGTTCTCGCACCAAAATTTGTATTTAGTGCTTTGAGCCGTTGGGTTTGATCCCAGAGCTGAAACTAGTAAAAATAAGATATCTGAAGTAGCTTGTAGTAGGCCAAAACATGTGGGGAAAATGCCCTTATATGGCCAAAATCGTGACCGGATAAAGTTATCTCAATATCTGGCCCAAATGTCCATAGGAGCCGTAAAATCGGGTGTTTGGCTGGATCAGTAGCCTAACACTCGCTGTACACCACCACACCACTCCCTCCCTTCCCACCAAGAAGGGAGGGAGTGGTGTGGTGGCTCAAGCTCTCACAAGTAAAACCTGGCCTTGGGCCGGGCTTGGGGAGTAGAAGAACTCCCAGAACCCTATCAAACAGGTATCAAGCAGATATGCCTAATTGACAGTATCCTGCTTCACCGTCAATTGGGGGAATTACCCAGTGGGTGGGTGGGTGGGTGGGTGGCAGGTGGTGGCGGCGTCTCAGAGGTTTGCAGTGTAGCATAGAAGGGTACGGTGTCCTCAGGGCGTGATATCTAAACAATCGAACGTTTTAGTTCTCGAGGAGTTGTACTGAAGGTTACACCACAGAACTCTGGTCTGTAGGATTACTTAATAACGACCAGCATTTAACCAGTAAGTGAGGTTAAAGGCTGGCCCCCATTATATAGTTAACATGCGAGACACGTGGGGTGAAATTAGGTGGTTGATGCGACGTATTATACGGGCACTGGGCATCCCGTTTAAACAACTGGGTGGCAGGTGACGACCTCACAAAGGGTGGTGATGGCAAGTGTGGGCAAATGTGGGCACACGGGGTGTAACACAAGTGGTTCACAAGTCCTCGTGATAGGTTGTTCGTTTGATGGAGTCTCCTTTTCGGGTGATGTTTGGGTCTGCTGCTTTCCGGAGGGGTCCTTCGGTTACTACTTGGTTGGTCAGACCGGGGGTGCTTCCTTTTCTGTGGGAAGTCCCTACGGCTCCCTGGAGTTTATCGGGCTAATGTATGTTATGTTAGACAGGGACATTAGCTATGGAGTTCAGACCTACCAGGGACCAGTGCCAGAACCTGGCCCCTTCAGAGAGGTTTCAGGGAGCAATGGCCCTGGAAAACCCCATTATGGTTGGGGGGTTTTCCTTATCTGCCATCGACCGGGGTTAGGCACCCAGAAAGGTAGGCATAACAAAACAAACCCCACATGGTATGAAACTACAACAAAAAACCCGAACAGAGGGGTAGAAACTCCCTACAATCCCAAGGAAACAATCAAACAATCAATTTACTGCCGTGCTGGTCGTCCGTGCAGCCCTCCCCTCCCCAGGAGGGGGGGCCCCGGACCTCACCGCACCGGCTGCCTTCAGTTCATAAGCTAGTGTCAACCGAGATAGACGCTTCTTTGGTTTCAAATTCCTGGGTGGTGTTTACTTCATGTGGCATTCTCTGCTGTCTTTGTGCGGTGGCCAGGAGTACCTCATCAGTGCCGAAGCTGCATGCACTTAGGGGCTTCCTTCCCTAGGTGCCCTGTGAGTACTGCCCCTGGGGGCGTTCGGGAACTGCTCCTGTAAGGGTCCTTGATGCTTGGCATTTGCGTCACCCTTGGGGCCAGCTGGGGCTTTGGGCCATTGTTTGGCCTTGGGTAGGAAGTGGTGTTGTGTTGGTTAGGGCGTCAAGTTGTTGCGCGGCCTGCCACCTAAGCGGTGACCAGTTCCTGTTGCCTTTGGGGACGGTGTACTTTTGCGAGGTTTTTCTTTTGTTTTGTTTTTGTTTGCCTGGTGGAGGTTCTGCCTCGTGGGTCTATAGTTCCCCTGATATTGTTTTGGTGGCCCTCTGCTAGGCCCCTGTGCTTGAACACGTCCCAGGGGTTTTCAGTATAATCATCTACCCCTTGTTTTGTTTGGGTTTCTTAACCGGTTAGCAACACCTTGCCCGGGCTTCCCATAGTTGTTACCCTACGGGCCCTGGAAACCCCTGTCGGGGCTCGGTGGACCCATGGATGCGTCTCCCGAGTTCCAGCCTGCCTTGTGCGGGTTTGAAGGTTGCAGTGTGCCCTTGTCTCAGGGTGACAGTCACCTGTTTTGCCTCCGTCATGCTGCCTGTTGGGTCAATGACACCTTTGACCCGGAGTCTTGCGAGTCGTGTTCTCTGCTTATGCTCCAGTTTTACTCTGAGGATGTTCCTGTTAGGGTACAGGCAGCATCAGTGTTGCATGTTTGGTTAAGGTTACTGCAACGCGCTAGGTTGGTTTCCCACCCGGATGCCCTGAGGCTGCCCCGTTTTGGTTTTAGGGACCCTGACCTGGAGGCGTTAGTCACTTCGGCTTTGACTCCTGCCGCGCCCCCTGGTTCTTTCCCTGTGGTTCTTCCTGCATCTCACCCCTGTGTCCGGCTCCAAAACGTCATGAGGGTTTCGGCCTCGACACAGGGTTTAGTTGGTAATGAGACTCGTCCTCCTTTGGGTGGTTCAGGGCTAACAGGGCAGGTTTCTTCTCCTGCACTTTGTCAAGTCGTCTTGGAGTGGGTGCGCTTGGGCATGGTCGAAACGACTACGTCCCTCAGGTGGGTGTCCCGTCTGTTTCCAGTGCTGAAACGGGACTGTGCAGATCTGAGCTTCATTCTGGACTTGTACCGTCTGAACCCTTGGATTCCTTGCCCCTCCTTTCGGATGAGTACTCTGTCTCAGGTCCGGCTTCTGTTGAAGCCGGGTGCCTGGATGGTGTTCCTGGACCTCAAGGACACCTATTGGCACATTCCTATTCATCTAGGGTTCAGGGACTGGTTAGGTTTCGTGTTGGGGCGTCACGCTTACCGTTTTCGATGCCTACCTTTTGGCTTGAATCTGGCACCTTGCGTTTTCACGGGTCTGACCCGGGTTGTGGTGACCCGTCTGCGTCTTCAAGGGATTCGGGTTTTGGCCTACCTCGACGACTGGCTTGTGTGGGCTCCCAGTTGGTCAGCTTGTCTGCTCGCCAGGGATATGGTTCTTTCCCAGCTCGTAAGGTTCGGGTTCCTGGTGAACTGGAGGATGTCCCATCTGGTTCCGTCCCAGGTTCGGACCTGGCTGGGTCTTGTTTGAGATTCTCGGACCGCTTCCTTGTCTCTCCTTCCAAAGGCATTGCAGCAGCTGCGGGAACACCGTCAGCTGTTTCTGAGGGGGTCCCGGGTCACTCGGCGGTTGCTCGAGCGGTTGTGCGGGAGTCTGAACTTCACCGTGCTAGTCTACCTGCCTGGTCGGGTTTGGCTTCGGTGTTTGTTTTAGTTCCTTCGGGGACGTCCCTTCTGCCTCTCTCGCGATCGTTGGGTTTGTCCTCCAAGGGCCTTGTGTCGGTTGCTGTGTCACCGGCTTCCTCTTCGGGGTTTTCGGTGTTCGGTGACTTGGCGCCTTCCCAAGCCCTCACGCAATGTGTTCACGGACGCGTCGTCTCTCGGCTGGGGCTTTGTGACCAGTGCTCACCGAGGCAGGCCAGGGACGGTGGAGTCTGTCCTTCCGTTGGGCTCACAGCACGATTTGGGAGTTCGCGGCAGTCTGGTTCGTGCTTCGGAGGGTTCGGGTCGCTCAGGGATCGACCATTCACCTCCATTCGAAATGTTCTCCAGTGGTTCATTGCCTGAACTGCAGGGGTCTCTTTAGTCCTTGGCTCTTTTGGGTTGGCTCTCCGTGCGGTTCATGTCCGGGGAGTGTCCAACGTTCTGGCGGACGGTCTGTCTCGCTTCCATCAACTGTCCACGGAGTGGACGGTCGACGATGACTCATTTCGTTGGATCTGCCAGACGTACAGTCTCCCAGATTGGGACCTCTTCGCGTCGGCAAGGTCTCGGCGTCTCCCAATCTATGTGACGCCCTTCCCCGACTACGAGGCATTCGCGGTGGATGCCTTTCGGCAGGACTGGTTGAGGTGGGGTTACCTGTACCTCTTTACTCCGGTCCAGCTGTTGCTTCGGTTTCTGGTTCGGTTGGAGACATTCCCAGGGAGAGTAGTCCTTGTGGCCCCTTGGTGGCCAGCCCAGCCTTGGTTTCCGGTGCTATTGGCTCGGTGCCAAAACCCGGGATGTTTCCCGCAGCTCCGCCTCTTTCAGCAAGTCGGCCCGGTCCGATACAGAGCTGGTTCAACCTTCTCTGCTCTTTGCGTCTGGTCTTTTTGACGCGGGTGTATCACCAATTCTATGGTGATCAGGTGGCTTCGTTGATGGTGTCCCACCTGAGAGCTTCGTCTCGACGACAGTATGAAGTTTCCTAGCATTCTTTCTGTGGGGAGCCCCTACGGCTCCCTGGAGCATATCAGGCTAATGTATGTTATGTTAGACCGGGACATTAGCTAAGGAGTTCAGACCTACCAGGGACCAGCGCCAGAACCTGGCCCCTTCAGAGAGGTTTCAGGGAGCAATGGCCCTGGAAAACCCCATATGGTTGGGGGTTTTCCTTATCTGCCATCGACCGGGGTTAGGCACCCAGAAAGGTAGGCGTAACAAAACAAACCCCACATGGTAAGAAACTACAACAAAAACCGA